GCACATGCCTTTAATCCCAGTACTTGGGAGGCAGAAGCAGGCAGATCTTTGTGAGTTCAAGGCCAGCCTGGTCTACAAAGCGATTTCCAGGACAGCTGGGGCTACAGGAAGACCGTGTCTCAAAAAGACAAAACAACAACAACAACAACAAAAACAAAAAAAACCACCCAAAACAAAAACAAAAAACAGGACTGCTGAGATGGCGATGGCTTGCAGAGGAACAAATTCAGTTTGCAGAGGAACAAATTCACCCACACTGAGAGGCTTACAACAGCCTGTAATGCCACCTGCAGGGAATCTACTGCCTCTGGCTTTATTTGCCACCTCCCCCCATATACATAATTAAAATAAATCTTACACACACACACACACACACACACACACACACACACACACACTGCCCTTTGAAAGTGAACGGGACTTGGGTTGGTAGAGGCTGGGTGGTTTCAGGCAGGGACCTGTAGGGTCTGAGATCCTCAGGTTGGAATGCACATGGCTTGTAGATGGTGATTCTGAACAGGGATGCTGTGGCTAGAGAGCACCACTTACCCCCAGGGTGCAGACCTTGTGTGTGTTTCCAAGGTCACAGATTTTAAAAACTTTGTGATTTCTAGCTTCAGGAGTCTTTGCTTACTGGAAGTGGTAGGAAATTAGTCATTCTGAAGATTGTTTACTCTTCTTTCTAGCAATCCTAAAAGTGCCAAAGGCAGATCCAAATTGGATGTCATTTCATCTGAACTATGAAAAACACTCTCCCAGGAGAGGCATCAGTAACCTGGTTTCCCCTCTCACCTAAAATTGGTGACTGATGATCTATTTCACAGAGTGCTACTCACTTGGCCTCCTCATTTGGAACTTGTGAGTCCTACAACTTCTCTGCTTTGGCAGAGGAAGATTTTCCCAGGACTAGTTAGCTTCTCCTCTGATATTACCCTCTGCAAATCAGGGCGTTTCCAGGCTGGAGGGAACTTCTTCTGGAGCCAAGGACTCTCCCTCCACAGGTTCCAAGGCACCTCTCTTGCCCTTTGTGTCCCTCTTCTTCTCCAGGTGGACTTACCTAGTTGTAGTGAATGCTACTTTATTTTCTTTTTAAGCTGTTTATCTCTTTCTTGGAGAGACTTTGAGAGGCCCTTAACTTCCACTCAGATGAGTTTGGCAAAAAAAAAAAAATTTTTAAAAAAAAAAAAAAAAAGAAAAAAAAGGTTTTTAAAGTCTTTTCAGGCACAGAGCCTAAATATGAATAGTTTTAAGACTTGAAAATTCTTTATTTCACCTTAAGAAAAGTGCTGGAGTCCTTGTAGATCTCCTCCTCATAGGGCAAATTCTCCTCCTCCTGTTGCATTTCCAGCTCATCCTTGAGAAGGGGAGGTAAAAATAAATAAAATAAATAAAAAAGTTTTTACAAAAAAAAAAAAAAGAAAAAAAAGGTTTTTAAAGTCTTTTCAGGCACAGAGCCTAAATATGAATAGTTTTAAGACTTGAAAATTCTTTATTTCACCTTAAGAAAAGTGCTGGAGTCCTTGTAGATCTCCTCCTCATAGGGCAAATTCTCCTCCTCCTGTTGCATTTCCAGCTCATCCTTGAGAAGGGGAGGTAAACGAGACACGTGAAATACCCATGGTTTCTTAATTCTGCATCAAGACTCAACATACTGTATTCCCTTAAGATATGTTTAAATTAGCATTAAAGTCTTTGTTTTCTTATCAATGGACCTAACTAGGTGATCATTTTTGCAGTAAATTAATAACTACCTGTAGCTACTACAGTTTTATTGACTAAACTGTCTACAGTTATCTCCTATAGAATCCTACAAATGTTAAAGCTTAACTTGTTAGGAAAAATACGACGAATAGAGCAATTTGATTTTTATTAAACTGAACCATATGAAGCTATTTTTGTAATTCAAAAATTTTAGATTAGCAAGTCTATGTTTGACCTAACGTATCACAAATATTTAATCACAAATAAGCATATATCTAACTTAAGCATGCAAGAATGTATTTAGGGCATTAGATACTGTATCACTGAACTTCCTAGAGATTTACTAAAACTATGCCTTCTTTTCTCTAATACATATA